AGTGACGTATCAGCCCTCGACCATTTATACCCGAGGCCCTGACACTCACCCATTCACTTCGTAACTTTCATAACTCCACATATCATTTGTAGCCTCCAACCAGGATTTCAGTACTACTTCCCTAATAACACCAACCACCACAAAGCCCAACAACAACACAACCACTAGTAAGATTTCAATGCATCACGGGTCTCAATAACACAAAATTTGACAACAACCAACCTGCTCACAGCATAGTGCACACAAAGCTTCAACAAACAACCCTATGACATTCTTCACAACATAACAAATCCTAATCACTTCCAACCATACCATATCAGTAAGTTCCTGAAGTTGCAGACAACAAACATGAATACCAGTCATATACATATCCAATATATAAAATAATCACGAGTTACAATAACAACATCGCCCTCACAAGCCTGTCCAACAATTAAAATAATAAGAGAAACATGTTTATAATGTAAAATCAGCAAAAACAATTTCTATTAACACACATCAACGCACACACCCGCCCCCGTGCTACTTACTTTGTCATGTCCCAAAATTCTCATAAGAGTCCTACTTGCTACTATGTCATGCCTCATGCATCAACAATCTCATAATAGTCCAATATGCGGTACACCAAAATGATCATATGTAAAAGCCAATCAATCTAAAATAGTCCAACATGATCCAACAGCTCCAGCAGGCATCGTTCACAGAAAAAGCACAATCAACCACTTAACCAAAATATAATTGATAAATACCCAGTATACATCAAACTCAACCGATTTCTCATAAATATTCAATACGCTTTCGAAACAACAGATTATAGTACCGGTATACAAATTTCATCATGAAAACCAATTAGAACATAATAGCAATTCAATCATAGTCATCCAGGATTACCTGGCTACAACTTATTCACACAACCACATACTTTTCCCAAGATATATCAACAGTTTTATCAACAATGACGTTTACTAAATGATAACAACGACAAGAAACATGCAAGTATCACACATGGGCACACGAGCAAACAACCATATCATATCAGCACACAACAACCAATCCCTCCAGTAAGAAACTACTTACAACAAAGTTCTAATGCGCTACCAAGTTCACCGAAGGGTTCCTAAATCCAAAAGCAAACCAAACTTGATTAGAATTCATATTAGAAACACTTAGTTTGTATCGAAAGTGAGTTTAGATGATCTGTTACCTACTATCTCACCATAAAACCTCTTGGGTAAGGGGTGGGTCGACGTCGAGGAGGTTCGGGCATCCAAAACTGAGTTCGAATGTCCTTATGCTTGCTATTCCGATGTCAAAAGCGATGGGTAATGCTGGTTTGGGTCCAATTAGAGGTGGGTCAACGCCAAACCAAAGCTGAATAGAGTGGGTATCGTAAATCCAGCTACGAACGGGTGTGGGTCAACGCCAACTATCATCAGAAAGAAGAATACGCCTAAAATTTAAGCTCGAAGTCACCGGGTTCGTGCTGATTGCGCGGCTGCTCAGTCGGAGGCAACACCGGAGCTTGGGTCGTTGGGGAAAACCG